CCACTGGGGGCACCGCCGTGGAGGCCGTCAACCACCCGTCCAGCTGGTCTGCTGGCAGGTACTGAGCCACCAAGGCTGGTACGGCCACTCCACGAACGATATAAGGGGTACGCCCTAGACAGGAGTCTCGTGTGATATCACACGTCACCCTCCTGTCCTCAATACCCCAGTGGATGATCGTCTCCAACAGTCGGTCCCGGGTAAATCCTTTCACTACTATTCCACTGGCAGGCTAACACATCACAGTGTTCTTCCAGGGGGGACGACTTCTCAACAGCTGCAGCTACGTTCAAGGTATGGAGACTGGCTGCCTCGGGTAGACTGACTTCACTTCCATCACAGTGGTCCCAGGTCGGCTCTGTAAGCAGACACGTCATCAATAACCGGGACACTAATACACCTCACTTACGGTCTCGGGCACAAACACCTGACGTATCTAGTCCATAGATGGCGCTGTCGTCGGAGCACCACCTCACCAGAGGTCAGGAGCGGCGGTGTTGAGCGCTGAACCAGACTGGAAACTGGTCCTCGAGGCCAGTACACGCTGTCCTCACCCGGTGTCGTCGTTCGTTTGGCGGGGGTTTCGGGAGCTGACCCACAGATGGCGTAGTCGTTGCTGCTCCTTGCTCGGACGCTGGATCCGGGTTCGTAACAGTAACCTATGTCCAAACATAGCAAAATAACTCCCCACAAAAAAAAGTCATCAAACTATTGCACTCACTCATTAGCGCCCCCCTTTCCCCCGAGAGGAGGGGGGGGGGAGAAGGAGCCAGCTCAGCCAGCGGCTCTCTCCTTTTGTTCTTGAATGATGAAAACTGTTGACCGGAGGGAGGGAGGGTGTCAGGGAGCCGCCTACAAAATGGCATTTCATTATATTCAACACTGGTTTTCTGTGGGGAGCCCTGTCGGTTTCCTGAAGCTAACTACCCCCAAATAAGTAAAAACGTGGACTTACCCGGGAGGCGGCAGCACCGCAGGTCTCAAGACGAAGAAGAGTCATCTGGCCACAACAGATGCACCAGTGCTACACCAGGATTGAGAGGATCCAGAACGTTCACGAGATATCTGGTGGCCAGGACCCTGTGCGACCTTCAAAACTCCTGCGCCCGAATATTGACACAAGACATATTACCAAAGACAGCTGCCAGAGCAGCATATGTCCACACATCATGTTGTGCGGACATCCCTTCATAAACGGGCATGAAGGTAGACCACAGGCTGGCAAGACTTGATGACACTGGACAACCTGAGACACACGAGCTCTGGAACAGGGAACCAGGAAACCGGATCCACCCAAAGCGCATCCACAGACACCGAACCATTGGGCCACAGGCAGCGACGTAAAGCCACCACCAGACACAGAACATGATGCATCACTTGCCGAATCAACCACGCATCCACCACCACTGGACCCTTCCGGAAGCCAGCCATCTCAATCTTTAGCAGAAAAGGAGAAGGCTGTCAACGGACAAAACGACCACCACGTTGAAAAGAACAGTGCCCCCGGCCTTGAGAAGGCATGAAGGTCCCCAACCCGACTCCTAGAGGCCAAAGCCAACAAAAACAAGGCTTTCATAAAACAAACCTGAACTGAAGAGGCCACCAAGGAGAAGAGAAAAAAGAGAGCACCCAATTCAAAGACTAGGACGTGTCTGGCGGCGCACGAGCAGGTCAGAGGTGAAAAAATGCTCGAGAGAGCTTGCAGAAAGGAGCAGAAGTGACAAGCACCTCAAAAGCAAGCTAGAGCGGCTCTGCCAATGCCGCACAATAAGAAGTGAAAACATGCGATATTAGATACCAGTCCAGAGAGAGCCAAGAGAGAGAAAAGACAAAATAAATTGACAGACACCGACAACACCTTATGAAGGGAAAGGAAATTGCAGACAGACTGCCAGGAGACTTCATACCATCGCTGAAATGAAGACTGCAGGTGGGACAACATTAAAAAAGTCCCCTGATCACCATACAAAGGGCGACACACCCATGTAAAAAAAAAAACACGCGAAGAGCGGAAGAACACAACGAACCAACGAGGTACCTTACCGGCCAAACTTGCTGAAAGAGGCGGAGTCATGGAAAGACTCCCGGGTTCAGGCACCAAGCAAGCAGCACCTGAAACCAAGGCTGGGCCGGCCACCATGGGGCCAGGAGATTCCCTCTCCGCTGATAGGATTAAGGTCGAATCAGAACACGGAGCAGCAGCTGGACTGGGAAAGAAAGGATTTAGGACCTCCACCTCAACAAGTCCTGCCGGAAAGCGTCCACCGCGATAGCCTTGTAAAGCGCTGTTCAGTGGCGCTGTTCCCCGCGAGGGGGAACAGCGCCACTGATAATGGGAGATGCCGAGATCACGTCGACGCGAAGAGGTCCACCTCTGGGCGCCCGAATGTCCGACAAAGAAAATGGAAGCAGCTGGTATCAACTGTCCACTCCGTGGATAGAGGAATGATACGTGGCCTGGTGAGCGCTGGTCACTAAGCCCAAGTCAAGAGACGAGGCATCCGTGAACACATCGAGCAAGGGAAGGGGAAGGGGAAGGCGCCATCCACCAAACCCCGAAAACCCCAAGAGGAAGCCAGAGACACAGCAACCGACATAAGGACTCTGGGGGACAAACCCAGCGGTCGCAAGAGTGGTGAAAGGGGCTGTCCCGAGGAAACTAGAACATCCTCCGAAGCCAAAACATTGCCCAGTGGGTAAACCATCATGGCAAATTTTAGGCTCCCGCACAACTGCACCAGCAACTGCCGAGTGACCCGGGTCCCCCCCTCCCTTATAAACCATTAAAAACGGTGTTTAAATCTTGTCTCCCCCTTAACAACTGTACTGTGCAATGCACTTTGATGCTCTTGACGGGTGGTGCGCAATGAGCCTTGAGGCTCTCGACAGATGGTGCACAATGCGCCTCAGGGATCTCGTAGGTATATATCATACGATGGAGGGGCATTTTTTCTGCACAATTACAAATGCATTTATATTGTTTTTTCTGGCTAATCCTATGTATATTGAACACATATACAATATTCTGGCAGTAGAACATCCGTACTGTTCCAAGACACTGTGTTACATGTATAAGAAATGTGTCCACAAACATTTTTCATATTTACAATATTTCATGTTCAATTATGTACATTTATAACATATTTACACACTGTACACTATCACACACTATATACATCCCCTATCAATACACTTGGAACTCCACGAGTGTGATAATCAGTGAAGCAGTCAACGGGGCATAGGGGAAGTTTGCACTCAAAGCACCAGGTGCAGATGCATCTTCACTTGTGTACCCTACGTTGTGTGTTCTTGCAAACTTCGCAAGCATGTTCCGTTAGCCTGTTCCTGGCATATAACCCAGCTTAAGTACAGCAAGGTGCTCATTACTCCTGAGTCTGTCAGGAACTGCGTGAGGCATTGTTGCTGGCACCCCACATGTGGCAACACAGCCCTTCACCCCATACTTCACGAGAGGTTGGGACACTAGAGCCACACTGAATGTACGTAATGGGGGTCTCTTGCCTTACTTCACGAGATACATGTTGAAACAGTTGAGCACTGCAACGTCAATGAGGGAAAAACAAATTCATCGTCCACTTCACATAATTGTGAGGCACTTGACGGCACCAAGCATCATGTCACATTTATCAACTAGCCGCATGTTTATGTTGTAGTCAATGACACAATCAGGTTTATATATTGGGAACCGTGTTGCAAAGTGCACTTTGCTACTGTCCAACATGGAACCGGTGTGAATAGTGGTCAACATATTTACCTCGCGTCTGTCTCTCCAGCACACTGATAACATTTTGTCACACTGTCGCAGCTGGCAATCACCCACTGCAATACCAATGTTAAACACTGGCATTTCCGTCCTGAAGGCCTTGACAGTGTCATATACGCCGGTGTTGTGGTCAAGGAGGAGTCTGGTTAGCAAGGGGCTGGTATAGTAGTTGTCAGGGAACAGGATATGCTAACTTGTTCAGCAATGGTTCCATAAGTGTTTTCATGACACGTGAAAACCCTGTGACGTGCCTGAAAATCCGTGAATATCTGGACCTAGTATGTCAACGTCAGTACCTCAATACAGTATCATGAACATGACAATACCAGTTTCGCAGTCACATAGCACGAAAAACTTGAGCCCAAACCGATGCCGCTTAAATGGACTGTACTGCTTGAACGTCAGTCGTCCCTTGAAGAGGACTAGAGATTCATCAATCACGACATTCTGTCCTGGTACAACTTTCTGTACCTAGACAGAATATCCACAACTGATCCTGTCCACGGAACTTTCCTCTCATATCACTAAATATCTTCCACACTTTCCACAGTCAGTCGCGTCTATCTTCAATATCATTGTTCTCAAAGTGCAGGCACATGAGAAGCAGCACGAACCTATCACGTGACATGTACCTGTTGAACACGGGAGATGGAACAAGGCTGTCTTCTTTACTCCAATAATCTGCATGATGTGTTCATCTGAATGCCTCATTATCATGCAGAAAGCTAAAAACACTTGCATTTCCTCATTGGTCGTGTCTTTCCAAGGTGTCATGCGAGAGGCAGGTAAAATGCCAGAGTCAATGAGGCCGTGAGTATCTGTTCGTCTCTGCAACGAGATGGTCCATGAATTCCTGATCAAAATATTCCATAAAATAAATTATTTAAGCCTTATCATCACCTGTATAGAGGAATAAAGATGTCTCACCAGCATCGTTATCATCAAATGTTGAAATTTGTGGGACAAAAGTCTCACAATCCTCCCACACAAGTACACCAGTGGTTTTGCTTTTGGAGTCGTTTTGCTGGACCGCAGCTGACCGTGGACCGGGAGCTCATAGACAATGCGTCAGATATGGTTGCTGCCTTGAAACTGAGGCTCCGCACGGCCCTGGGGCATGCAGGGAATTTAAAATGGTGGACGATCACTGGAGGCCTCAGGCATCCATTTCGTACCCGCGTCACCTCTCGCCAGCTTTGAATCATACGCTATACATATGAGGTCCCTGAGGCCCATTAACACCACCCGTCAAGCGCTTCAAGGTGCGTTGCACAACCACCCGTCGAGCGCCTCAAGGTGCGTTGCACAACCACCTGTCGAGCGCCTCAAGGTGCGTTGCACAACCACCCGTCGAGCGCCTCAAGGTGCGTTGCACAACCACCCGTCGAGCGCCTCAAGGTGCGTTGCACAACCACCCGTCGAGCGCCTCAAGGTGCGTTGCACAACCACCCGTCGAGCGCCTCAAGGTGCGTTGCACAACCACCCGTCGAGCGCCTCAAGGTGCGTTGCACAACCACCCGTCGAGCGCCTCAAGGTGCGTTGCACAACCACCCGTCGAGCGCTTCAAGGTGCGTTGCACAACCACCCGTCGAGCGCCTCAAGGTGCGTTGCACAACCACCCGTCGAGCGCCTCAAGGTGCGTTGCACAACCACCCGTCGAGGGCCTCAAGGTGCGTTGCACAACCACCCGTCGAGCGCCTCAAAGTGCGTTGCACAACCACCCGTCGAGCGCCTCAAGGTGCGTTGCACAACCACCCGTCGACCGCCTCAAGGTGCGTTGCACAACCACCCGTCGAGGGCCTCAAGGCACGTTGCACAACCACCCGTCGAGCGCCTCAAGGTGCGTTGCACAACCACCCGTCGAGCGCCTCAAGGCACGTTGCACAACCACCCGTCGAGCGCCTCAAGGTGCGTTGCACAACCACCCGTCGAGCACCTCAAGGCACATTGCACAACCACCCGTCGAGCGCCTCAAGGTGCGTTGCACAACCACCCGTCGAGCGCCTCAAGGCGCGTTCCACAACCACCCGTCGAGCGCCTCAAGGCACGTTGCACAACCACCCGTCGAGCGCCTCAAGGTGCGTTGCACAACCACCCGTCGAGCGCCTCAAGGTGCGTTGCACAACCACCCGTCGAGCGCCTCAAGGTGCGTTGCACAACCACCCGTCGAGCGCCTCAAGGTGCGTTGCACAACCACCCGTCGAGCGCCTCAAGGCGCGTTGCACAACCACCCGTCGAGCGCCTCAAGGTGCGTTGCACAACCACCCGTCGAGCGCCTCAAGGCACGTTGCACAACCACCCGTCGAGCGCCTCAAGGCACGTTGCACAACCACCCGTCGAGCGCCTCAAGGCACGTTGCACAACCACCCGTCGAGCGCCTCAAGGCACGTTGCACAACCACCCGTCGAGCGCCTCAAGGCACGTTGCACAACCACCCGTCGAGCGCCTCAAGGTGCGTTGCACAACCACCCGTCGAGCGCCTCAAGGCACGTTGCACAACCACCCGTCGAGTGCCTCAAGGCACGTTGCACAGTTCAGTGGTTAAACACTGTAAAAATATATTTGCTGTTATTACACTATATGCACACGTTATATATAAGTACTGTATCTACATTTGTGTTTACTATAACGAACCATAGTAACGAATACTATCATCAATCAATAATAGCAATTACACATGTATTTGGACATTTTTAGGTGATGCTGTGGTCACAAGCTGAACAGCAGTGCTGTTAGCTCATGCTGCGTGCACCAGCCTTCGTTGCTCACTCAGTACTGAGGCTCTCACACCCGGCAATGTTGCCCACGATTTTCTTTTAAATTTCGTCTGTTTACTAGAACCTTGAGGAAGCTGATGTGGACCCCATGTAGCCGCGGGACTTTTAAATCTCACGCGGTACTTTAAAAAGTATATATACAGTGTGCGGTGTGCAGGCAGTTAGACCAAAATTGTTTATATACAATTTGCGCTGTTAAAGGGTTAAGGTGCTATGTGCAGTTCTGAGGGTTAATACACTCAACATAACTGGGTAATGACAATATGATTAGTACATTCACCATCATTAATGACAACATCACGATCAATACACTCACCATCACTGGATAATGACAATATGATTAATACATTCACCATCACTAGTTAATGACAAAATCACGATTAATACACTTACAGTCACTAGTTAATAACAACATCATGATTAATATGCCCACTATTACTAGTTAATAATATCAATATCGCTCACCCTCACTAGTTTATACATCAACATGATAAACACACACACTGGTAGTACAGTAAAAATAAAATTGTCCTCACCATCATTAATGGGCAGAAGTTGTGTTTGCTATCGTCCAGGGTAGCCGAGCAGAGACTGGAAGCAGTGTTACCTGTTGGGGGAAAAATAAAACAAATATAAGATTTCTAGAACTAAAATTATTCCCACAAAAAATAATAAATGTTTAGGAAAATTAAATAAAAAAATTTAGATATCGTACTCTGAGCAGAAGCAGGGAGTGTGAAGAAGTTCAAGGAGAGCAGGTAGGAGTAAGGAGGATGGGCAGGAGTAAGGAGGGTGGGCAGGAGTAAGGAGGGTGGCCAGGAGTAAGGAGGATGGGCAGGAGTAAGGAATGTGGGCAGGAGTAAGGAGGGTGGGCAGGAGTAAGGAGGATGGGCAGGAGTAAGGAGGGTGGGCAGGAGTAAGGAGGGTGGCCAGGAGTAAGGAGGGTGGGCAGGAGTAAGGAGGGTGGGCAGGAGTAAGGAGGGTGGGCAGGAGTAAGGAGGGTGGGCAGGAGTAAGGAGGGTGGGCAGGAGTAAGGAGGGTGGGCAGGAGTAAGGAGGATGGGCAGGAGTAAGGAGGGTGGGCAGGAGTAAGGAGGGTGGGCAGGAGTAAGGAGGATGGGCAGGAGTAAGGAGGGTGGGCAGGAGTAAGGAGGGTGGGCAGGAGTAAGGAGGGCTGGGCAGGAGTAAGGAGGGTGGGCAGGAGTAAGGAGGGTGGGCAGGAGTAAGGAGGATGGGCAGGAGTAAGGAGGATGGGCAGGAGTAAGGAGGGTGGGCAGGAGTAAGGAGGGTGGGCAGGAGTAAGGAGGATGGGCAGGAGTAAGGAGGGTGGGCAGGAGTAAGGAGGGTGGCCAGGAGTAAGGAGGGTGGGCAGGAGTAAGGAGGGTGGGCAGGAGTAAGGAGGGTGGGCAGGAGTAAGGAGGATGGGCAGGAGTAAGGAGGATGGGCAGGAGTAAGGAGGGTGGGCAGGAGTAAGGAGGATGGGCAGGAGTAAGGAGGATGGGCAGGAGTAAGGAGGATGGGCAGGAGTAAGGAGGGTGGGCAGGAGTAAGGAGGGTGGGCAGGAGTAAGGAGGGTGGGCAGGAGTAAGGAGGGGTGGCCAGGAGTAAGGAGGATGGGCAGGAGTAAGGAGGGTGGGCAGGAGTAAGGAGGGTGGGCAGGAGTAAGGAGAGTGGGCAGGAGTAAGGAGGATGGGCAGGAGTAAGGAGGGTGGGCAGGAGTAAGGAGGGTGGCCAGGAGTAAGGAGGGTGGGCAGGAGTAAGGAGGGTGGGCAGGAGTAAGGAGGATGGGCAGGAGTAAGGAGGATGGGCAGGAGTAAGGAGGGTGGGCAGGAGTAAGGAGGGTGGGCAGGAGTAAGGAGGGTGGGCAGGAGTAAGGAGGGTGGGCAGGAGTAAGGAGGATGGGCAGGAGTAAGGAGGATGGAGGGTGGGCAGGAGTAAGGAGGGTGGGGGAGTAAGGAGGGTGGGCAGGAGTAAGGAGGGTGGGCAGGAGTAAGGAGGGTGGGCAGGAGTAAGGAGGGTGGGCAGGAGTAAGGAGGGTGGCCAGGAGTAAGGAGGGTGGGCAGGAGTAAGGAGGGTGGGCAGGAGTAAGGAGGGTGGGCAGGAGTAAGGAGGGTGGGCAGGAGTAAGGAGGGTGGGCAGGAGTAAGGATGGTGGCCAGGAGTAAGGAGGATGGGCAGGAGTAAGGAGGGTGGGCAGGAGTAAGGAGGGTGGGCAGGAGTAAGGAGGGTGGCCAGGAGTAAAGATGGTGGGCAGGAGTAAGGAGGGTGGGCAGGAGTAAGGAGGGTGGGCAGGAGTAAAGATGGTGGGCAGGAGTATGGAGGGTGGGCAGGAGTAAGGAGGGTGGGCAGGAGTAAGGATGGTGGGCAGGAGTAAGGAGGGTGGGCAGGAGTAAGGAGGGTGGGCAGGAGTAAGGAGGGTGGGCAGGAGTAAAGATGGTGGGCAGGAGTAAGGAGGGTGGGCAGGAGTAAGGAGGGTGGGCAGGAGTAAGGAGGGTGGGCAGGAGTAAGGAGGGTGGGCAGGAGTAAGGATGGTGGGCAGGAGTAAGGAGGGTGGGCAGGAGTAAGGAGGGTGGGCAGGAGTAAGGAGGGTGGGCAGGAGTAAGGAGGGTGGGCAGGAGTAAGGAGGGTGGGCAGGAGTAAGGAGGGTGGGCAGGAGTAAGGAGGGTGGGCAGGAGTAAGGAGGGTGGGCAGGAGTAAGGATGGTGGGCAGGAGTAAGGAGGGTGGGCAGGAGTAAGGAGGGTGGGCAGGAGTAAGGAGGGTAAGGGCAGGAGTAAGGAGGGTGGGCAGGAGTAAGGAGGGTGGGCAGGAGTAAGGAGGGTGGGCAGGAGTAAGGAGGGTGGGCAGGAGTAAGGAGGGTGGGCAGGAGTAAGGATGGTGGGCAGGAGTAAGGAGGGTGGGCAGGAGTAAGGAGGGTGGGCAGGAGTAAGGAGGGTGGGCAGGAGTAAGGAGGGTGGGCAGGAGTAAGGATGGTGGGCAGGAGTAAGGAGGGTGGGCAGGAGTAAGGAGGGTGGGCAGGAGTAAGGATGGTGGGCAGGAGTAAGGAGGGCAAGGAGGGACCCTGTCTGGCATGGAGGGAAGGAGGGAGTCAGGCTATGGGTGGGTGGGCAAGCAGGGAGGCTGGAGTGGGTGTTCACCCACCTACAAACCTGCTCATCCACCCACCTGTCCACCATTAAACCCATCTGCCTGCCATGCATCCATCCAGCCCATCTTCCTGCCAGCCATCCAGCCCACCCAGCTCACCCACCTGTCTGCCCGCCCACTTGCTCTGCCCACCTTCCTGCCAGGCAGCTACCCACCCAGCTCACCACCCACCCAACACCACACACTAATTATAGTGTGAGTGGAAATTCAAATCACGTTGGCTGTGATACATAAAGATTGTGAATGTTAATTTTTTCCTTCCCCGGTAAAACTCGCCTAATACGGATGTCGGGCTTAACTGGATAGGGGTCCTTCCCATATAGTCTGGATAATCGAGTTCATACAGTATATATAATATATTATCCAGGATATATGACCTCTATCAAGCATATTCAGGTCATTTTTACATATTATTTAGCACTAATAACTAACCTTGCTTACAACTATTCTAATACTTAATTTCAAGTCCAAAACAAGGCATACATACACTTATATTATTAAACCTCTTGTCTGGAAATACTTTATATAAACCAGCCAAGCCTACTCAGGCCACACTCACTGAATGAAAGGTTTCTGATCTTTCCATATGAAAACACTCATAATAATGCCAGATTATTTTAACCATTGAGAACCCACGTAATAGTGTGCAAGAGGCAGAGGTGTAATTAACGGAGGGAAGCGCGATCACAAGTTAGGTATCCAGTGTTAGTTATTTCTTATAAGACATTCAGGTATTCATAATTAAACATCTTATGAGAAAATATATAGGATTCTGTAATGAGAAAATGTGGCTAACTCTTCAGTATACGGAAAAACACCACAATTTACATATTTGAAATCACAAATTTAAATATAATAAACCTAACAAATAAAGTATAGAGAAGACTCTTGTAATGTGATTCACTGACCACTTGGAAATTCAAATGCATTTTACCTACCAATAATACGCTAACATACGTTAGCTTGAATATTCCTGGAGTGACTCTCATACATTCTCTCTCTCTCCATATAATTTCAAACATTTCCTTCATATCAGAAAGTTGGATATACCAAATCTTTTAAATGTTAAACATCGACAAATTTAACATTTAAAAATGTAATTTACTGGTGTAAATGTGTATTTATGAGTGTATAAACATCTATTTAAATGTATAATAAAACAAACATGAAAGACAAAAGCATATAAAGAATAAACTAGAAAACAGAATGTAGCAACTCTATGATTAATGAAAATGTTTGAAACATTTTATGTCATCATTCATTCATTCATAATTGACATCATTTACACAACATAATTTACATAATAGTAGGCATCCATCAGTCTCAGGAGATTATTGAGTTGTGCTCTGCTTGTCGGTCTGGAGTGGCCTCTCCAGGGCACAAAGCCTGGGTAGGTTGATATGCTAAAGAAACTGTTATCCAAGCAGCAGGCGCCGAAAGTCTCCAATGGAAAGGCAAACGCCAATACGATTGGTTCCAGCGCCGTCGCAGGAACTGTCAGAACGAGAGGCTCCAACTCCGGAGTTAACCTCGAGGTTGGTAAAAGAGGGCACAGAGACTCCAGACCCGGAGACCGCCGGGGTCGGAGAAGAACCAGCCCAGCAAGGGGCAAGAACGACCCCAGCC